CCGCGAATTTCTACCATGTTGGTGAACTTGTAATGGTCATGCGACAAGGTTCATTATCCTAAAATGCCGATTTCAGTTCAGAATACGTCCCCACAGCCCATCCTGATTAAAAGAGTCGACTAAAGGACTTATCGGATGGTTACAATGTGTCAGTGTGTCTGATGGTTACAATGTGTCATTTGTCTGATGGTTACAATGTGTCAGTGTGTCTGATGGTTACAATGTGTCAGTGTGTCTGATGGTGACAATGTGTCAGTGTGTCTGATGGTAACCACTTGTCAGTGTGTCTGATGGTTACAATGTGTCAGTGTGTCTGATGGTTACAATGTGTCAGTGTGTCTGATGGTAACCACGTGTCAGTGTGTCTGATGGTTACAATGTGTCAGTGTGTCTGATGGTAACAATGTGTCATCTGTCTGATGGTAACCACGTGTCAGTGTGTCTGATGGTTACAATGTGTCATCTGTCTGATGGTTACAATGTGTCAGTGTGTCTGATGGTTACAATGTGTCAGTGTGTCTGATGGTTACAATGTGTCAGTGTGTCTGATGGTAACAATGTGTCAGTGTGTCTGATGGTTACAATGTGTCATCTGTCTGATGGTAACCACGTGTCAGTGTGTCTGATGGTTACAATGTGTCATCTGTCTGATGGTTACAATGTGTCAGTGTGTCTGATGGTAACAATGTGTCAGTGTGTCTGATGGTTACAATGTGTCAGTGTGTCCGATGGTTACAATGTGTCAGTGTGTCTGATGGTAACAATGTGTCAGTGTGTCTGATGGTTACAATGTGTCAGTGTGTCTGATGGTTACAATGTGTCAGTGTGTCTGATGGTTACAATGTGTCATCTGTCTGATGGTTACAATGTGTCAGTGTGTCTGATGGTTACAATGTGTCAGTGTGTCTGATGGTTACAATGTGTCAGTGTGTCTGATGGTTACAATGTGTCAGTGTGTCCGATGGTTACAATGTGTCATCTGGCTGATGGTGTGTTATCGTATGGATCGGATCGCTTTTTATCTATAAAAACACCACCGTGGCCTAGTAGATAAGGTCGATGGTTCGATCCCAAGTCTGCGTCATACCAAATACCTGGGGCTCGAAAACACAAGAACTGGTCGACAAGGTGTCAGTATACTGTGTTTGCGTTGAGTACCTATGTTCCACTTGCGCATGATGCACCCGTTACAAACACATTGTTAAGACAAGTCAAGTGTTCATCTGAACAAATGCATCAAACATCTTCAATCAACAATCAAACAACAGGAACAATGTGAAGCATTGTCTAATTTTTTTAAAGTATTTAAAGTGGCGGATCATGGCAATACGCTCTTAATAAATTAGGGTAAAATCCAAATATATGCTTTTGAAAAGAAGCTAAGAAGACTAGGTTTAATAAGCCGTGGCTGATTGTACTGCAAAATACAATCTTATAATTGAGGCTCTCTTGACTTGGGCAAATCAACAAGTATATGTACATGCACATGGTATTTTGATAAACACCGCTGTGAGTGAGTGAGTGAGTTTTACGTCGCTTTTAACAATAATCCAGCAATGTCACGACGGGGGACACCAGAAATGGGCACATTGTAACTATGTAGGAAATCGAACCGGGTCTTCGGCGTGACGAGGGAACGCTTTAACCACTAGAGGCGACTGACGGGATCGGGTGATCAGGCTTACATAATGGACATCCGGTAGTGTTACCATTGCCGGGGTGAGAACTTCCAGTTTGATGACATCTACTCCGCAAACAGAATAAACATTCATATAATCTACGTGTTGTTTTCAGGAAAACACTATTGTTTTTTTAGGAAGTACACAACTCTAATAACCGCCTCCGTGGTCTCGTGGTAGAGCGTCCGCCCGGAGAGCGGAAGGTTCGGGGTTCGATCCCCGGCCGCGTCATACCAAAAGACGTTAAAAGATGGTACTTGTTGTTACCCTGTCTGGCGCTCGGCATTAAGGGGCTAAAACAAGGACTGGTCGGCTCGGAGTCAGTATACTGTGTCTGAGTGGGGTATTCATGTTAAACTGCGGCATGGTATCTCAGTGAGCTAGCACTATAAATCGGCATCAGCCCGGACTAGTACAAGCAGCCACACAAACACACACACGTACATGCACGTCGCTATATAAGTGCAATAATCTTGGACGCGACGTTAAACCCCATTTCACCTCACCTCACAACTCTAATAAGCTGTGGTATTTGCTCTCTGTTTTGATAACTGGGCCTGGGGGAGGGGGACCCCATAAAACTCCTAAATAGGGCCCTAAATCAATTACATTTTACGCAGGAACCGTGGATTGTCATAAAATCACCTACGTCTGTACTGCGACCTCTATGGTGGCCAAGAGGGGATACGCGAGAAAGCGCGAAAGCGATGTCCCCTCTCGGCCACCACATAACACAGGCTTGCGATACACGTTGGGTAACAATCGCACTGTGGATCGGGGCCCTGGTTGTAACAGGCGATAACATAGGATAGCTGTGATTTGGCGGACCCGATGACATGGATATTTGCCATTATTATTTCAGGCACTGTTTTTTCTGGTCCAGACCATCGTTGTACAGCTGGACTATTGCTGACTGCGGCGTAAAATAACAACCACACACAGGCTAGAGGGATTCGTTGGTGTAACCTGGACACCATGCCAATATATCGAGTCATTGAGCATCATCTCAAATCGATGAAGCAAATCTTCCTCTATTAAACTGTTGCCATTATCTTTGTCAGTTACATCCGAAAAGAAAATACTACAATAATATATAGCTGCATGATTTTATAAATGCTAATAGAACCAGTAACATTGTCCCTTCCCTGTTCTATTTCCAATTATCGTTTGTTGGGTAAAATAATTGCATTTTGTGCTTTTTCATAGAATTAATTATATTTTTTCGTTGTCAGCATAATTCACAATTTATCCCTTTGGGGTGTGTGATATTGATTAACACCTTTTTTAAACATGACAACATTCATGATCTAATATAATCCGATCACAGATCAATATTGAATATGTTCGGGTAATGGTTTTTCATATAATGTCCAGGTACCGCTGTTATCGCCACTGTTTGTATAATGTAATGTGATCTTAACGCCGAGGTGAACGACACGCCTACGTTATAACGCAGGCTCACACTAGTCGTAGTGTAGAGGTAGCTTTGTGGAACGGGGGCCTGCCAAACAGCGTCTGACGTCATCGCAACCCACATCAAACCACATCCTAGTTGGAAGCTTGTCGTTACGATTAAGAACTCAATCTAACTGATGAACCAGCTGTATAGAGCCACCACCGAAGTATCGTTTTCATGACTAGGATTCATTGAAGCATACCCATGAGATCACACTAAGCACTCCATAGGGAGCGAGTATGGTTTTACGCCGCTTTTAGCAATATTCCAGCAATATCACGGCGGGGGACAGAAATGGGCTTCACACATTGTACCCGTGTGGGGAATCGAACCCGGGTCTTCGGCGTGACGAACGAACGCTTTAACCAATGGGCTACCCCACCGCTCCCACTCCACAGAGAAGACGAATCATGTCTTGGTTATTGTGTAAAGGACAGATCATGATTCGCTGTGCAGAGTTGCGTCCCTTGGGCACGCCAGAAACCTATGATTGTGGGTTCGAATCCCGGTTCGCCTCGATTATATTTCTAGGTTTGTCGGCACCATACCCGTGCTCGTGGGTTTCACCGAGGTGGTAAACGTCTGAGACCTGCATCACTTCGGGCTTTCCTCCACATTAAGCTGACACGCCGTGATGTAACTGGAATACTGTTAAAAGCGGCGTTAAACCCAACTCACTCACTCACTCTAATATCGACGTTTCGTAATATAGGTGCATACTGTATACCGTTATGGAATATAAGTTATATCAACGGCATGAGGATCTAAGTTGTTACCATTTAACTGTGTCTACTTTGCCCCCCCCCCCCCCCCCCCCTCACACACACACACACACACACACACACACCACCACCACCACCAACAACTTCTGACAAATGCTCCTAAGACAATAAAAAAACGAAAGTATAAATATTATGTATTTGGTTAGCTAACAGCACGTTCAGTCTCAGAATGGAATATCAGTAATGGAAGTTACAGAACTCTTTTTCTGGGAGTGGTGGTGCTACCGGTAGGGCAGGACATACTTCCCTTTTGGCGAGCACCTGGTGTCATCTATGATTTTCAGTGATTTATTCAGAAAATTGTCACTGCTATTTTGCATTTTACACCCAGTGAAATCTGTTTCGGCGGAAAATCAAGAGTGGTTATTCTCTAGCGTTGATGTTTTATATTAATGAAACGATATGCCACTCTTTGAATTTAATTTCTGACCTTATTATTAGCTGCTGTTTCATTTCATGACGTTGGGTTTTGTAATTGAAGTATGTTAGTAATGTTCCCACGTGGAATGAGAGCAGAATTTGTCCCCAGTACCCCATGCTCAAAGGAGACAACCAAAGAGGAATTGGTGAATGTAAATTGTGGAATAAACAAATAATTATAACACAATATTAGCATAATTATAAATGCAATATTTCAAAGGTTATCAATAAAGTATTCATTTGATGATAACAAAACTAAAATCAAATGAGTATTTGAAAAACACACGTAATAATACAAGATGAATGTTTATCAGATTTAACTAAACATGTTCCAGAGAAGAGCAATGCATCTTCAATAGCCACGTATATTTCCTCCAATCGATGCAGTCCGCGTTCGCTGTAGTCTTGTCCTGGAGACAGTTCTCTGGAAACAAAGTCGCACGCACGTTGTCGCTTCGCTCCCGAGTCGGGCTGTTTGTTGATCGGGGCTTTACATCAACACAAAACGCTTTATACACGGCTTGTTTAGTTGGCACTGCTCTAACCATCAATAAAATCGATGTAATACCCGCATCAGGCATCGCAGGAACCCTGGGACGACTCTTGCTCTCATGCTTGGCTGAAACTACTTAGCTAATCGATTGTTTTATCTGCTTTCCTCAGGGGACAGGTAGATTGGAAGACGAAGCAGACGACAAGTAGCAGCAGACGACAACTTTGCTCTGGGACCTGTCACTCGCCGGCAATGGCGCATATTACCTCGAAGAGACTCTCGGATACATTTTCTGTCAGGATTGTGGTGTTTCTGCTGGTCGGATATTTATTTGAAGGTAGGAATATGAATATTAGGTATATTTCTTTAGCGGGACGTTCGGGAAGTTTGCTGATCGTGAAATTCAAAATGGCGGCTGATGTCATCTTATACTTTGGCTTCATATCAGAACATGAAACATAACAACTCACTATGGCGACAAATTGTGTTTGGGAATATAGTATTTCGATACAAATCCCGCCATTTTCTCCAGAGACATAAAAGGTCAAACGGCATATGTATTCGTTGTATGCAATTGTCATGAAGCATGTTCGTTTTGTGGAAATACAATGAGATATCCACACAATACTATTTGAACTCTACAGTATGACATCTATACTACTCAAAATAAGCAAAAAACACCCAATTTTTATCATGACTATACTTAATCTGTCACGACATATTAACTATAGTAGTATGAAACAACCGGGTGTTCTTTAACTTATTTTGAGTAGTATATGCATAAACTGAAATTTACCTTTTCGCTGCACATAAAACTAACAGGTTAATTCACAAAACTAAGAAAATATGTCATACGGTTTAAAATGTCATTTGATTCCTTGGGAACAGTTTTTTAATTTATTGTATAAAAGTTAGAATTCCTTGTATGTTAATATCGGAGACTGATGATACTGAAATTTCTCGAAGATTAAACAGGTCCTTCATGAAATACACAGATGGTTGGCGTAGACTGATCCTCTTTGGCCCAGATCGCGCTAATGTCTGAAACTGCCACATATACGTTCTGGCGTAAATGCCAACACAGATCTGTACATCTTAAAGTCAATAAGAAATAATAATAGTTTATGTTTAAGCTGATATGTGAATACCTTTCTCAAATTAGATCAATGAAACAAGATGTGGCCTTAACGTTTTGTATTTCGTGACCTTTAGCGGAATCGTTCTACGTTAAAATGTTAAAGAATATTTCTTGTAACGAGTTATAAAGAAAGGCTTTATAATAATATATATTATATACCTAGGAATATGATATGTAGACCATTTTGTCAATATTTCTAACTACATTATAATAATCGTAATATTTTGAAGATCGTTTTTATTTTTATGCTTGATGATTTATATATATAAGAAATTCACTTCTTACGTCTTTTAATACACAGTGCGATACAAAGGAATTCTTACATGAATGTATGTTTCATATTAGTGTCTGAGTGGAAGTATTTCCAAGTAAAAAGCGTGTGAATTACATGAATTTTGACACAAATGTATTATCTGTGCACACACGCTTTGTAATAACCAAATTTTGATCAACGCTTGATAATTAACTGTGAAACTGTATCATCTACGTCAACAGCGTCTGTCTGTATTACGTTAACGACGGTATCTGCAATTCCCCGATAATGCCGTTTTGCGAGTGAAAGCATTATGACATGTGTGTATCATATGGAGCAATACATTGTGCAAATTTGGAGACATATTTAAATTAAATAACTGTTATCCATGACCGAACCAGCAAGAATTTAAAGAAACATTATGGGTTTTTTTCTCAGACGTAATATATAACGTTTATACTGCGGACGTCACATTAAAGATCCATTGAAAATATAAGTAATGGCGGAACTCCTTCAATTTGACTAAATATTGTATCTATTGTCATAAAATGAAGAAGATTTAAATTGATCTATGATTTGTGATAATAAATACATGGAATTCAACACCGCTGAGCAGTTTTAAACATGGCGACTTTTTGAATATTGCTAAAATCGGCGTAGAAACACACTCCCTCACTAAATCACTCACAAAGACACAGAGCAGATGACGGTGTGACGTCACAAGAAACGCAAATTAGAATAAGAAATAATTGCACGCGTCCATTTGGGCGCACTACATGGAACCCCATTAACAATATCATATATCTTTGTAACTAAAATTTCAGAATAGTTTTAACTGGATCTGTCAGTTTTAAGCATTAATCCGCTTCAGCATTCATTGCAATTAATATTAGACTGTCAGTGGAGGTCAGAGATTTTGATTGCGTTCAAAGACAATTAGTGCTTAATGCAAAAAATATAAAGGTGACAAAACCCTTTCCATATTCATAAGAAATCTCTGCCCAAAACCGTCGCTTGTACGATTCCAACTATATCATGAGCATGTCTCTATGAATCACTATCAGATAGTGGCGATACAAAGTGTTCTTGAAAAGGTGAGCGTATCCTGCACCCGTCACAAAAACATGCAGAGGCAAGTCAATTGTTCACAAGAAATACACGGGAACGCATGGTACATGTCCAAAATAGGGAATAGGATCGGACAGAATTTCTGTCACTGATGTGTCAAATTTAGAAATACCCTTCACATGTCTACTACAAACTTTGTGAAAAATTTACTAAGATCTTGAATGTTGTACCTTTGATCAAGACCGCCTCCGTGGTCTAGTGGTAGAGCGTCCGCCCGGAGAGCGGAAGGTCCGGGGTTCGATCCCCGGCCGCGTCATACCAAAAGACGTTAAAAAATGGTACTTTGTGTTACCCTGTCTTGCGCTCGGCATTTAGGGGCTAAAACAAGGACTGGTCGGCTTGGAGTCAGTATACTGTGTCTGAGTGGGGTATTCATGTTAAACTGCGGCATGGTATCTCAGTGGGCTAGCACTATAAATCGGCATCAGTCCAGACTAGTACAAGCAGCCACACAAACACACACACGTACATGCACGTCGCTATATAAGTGCAATAATCTTGGACGCGACGTTAAACCCAATCTCACCTCACCTCACCTTTGATCAAACAACTTCTGAGCAAGAGTTGTATAATCAGATTATTCAGGCACCAAACAGTACATATTCTTTGAAGGCTTACATGTAATGCCCAACACTCAAGACCAAAGGGAGGAGGTGAAGACACAATGACAAGACGTTAACACACTTCAATATATTTATAACCGCTTTTCTTTTATAATGGAGATAAGATGAGACACTCTCGTGGCATTAAAACTACCATACATATGGAATTATTTAGATGGGTGTCATTACGCAAAGGTTTACTAACGTACTGAAGGAATTAGCTGTGATGGGTTTGCACCGTTTCAAACGAAAATTGAGTGGAAATTGATTTAGAACTTTGTAAAGGTTAAATCCTTCATTTTAAGCATGCATGAGTCGCAATCATAACACACAATGAACATAGGTCTGTTCAACAAATCGATTTCATCAACTTTTATTCTCTGATATTTCAATTCCAACTCGGTTTATGGAACGAGGCACCCACACATTCTGACATGTCTAACTACCACACCACAAAGTTTTACAGTCAACTCAATCTACGACAGCCTCTACGGTTTATGAACTGAGGGGCAAAACAGAGTATAATTTGATTATGTCTATTTAGTGAGTGAGTGAGTTGGTTTTAACGCCGCTTTTAACATTATTCCAGTTATATCGCAGCTAAATGTGGGAGGAATGTCCGAAGTGATGCAGGTCTCAGACGTTTACCACTTCGGTGACACCACGAGCACGGGTATGGTGCTGACAAACTTAGAAACATAAACCGGGCGAACCGGGATTCGAACCCACAAGGGACGCAACTCTACACAGCGAATCGCAGCGCCTTAGACGACTGGGCCACCTGTGTGCCCCTTATGTCTATTTAACTATCCCTCATTTGAAAGTTTGTAAAAAGTAATCTGTGGCTGGGTAGTTTTGTGTAAAAATAAATTCGACAAAGCGACAAACGACAAAACCCTTTTCATATCCAATAGAAATCTCTGCATAAAGCAGAGTCGATTGTACAATTCCGACTATATCATGACCATGTGTTTATGAATCACTATCGGGGGCACTACCTGAAAAAAACATGGGGAAATTAGGTACAAGTCAAAATAGGGAATTGCATCGGACATCAGAAATGTATGAATTAGTGTAGACGCCAGTACCTAAGGTATCATAGAAACTTGCTTATCTATGATATCATAAGTACTGGCTTCCATGTTATCAGCGCTATTAACTGTAAAGTGTTGGCTTCCATTGTCTATTGCCAATCACCTTTCAGCGCCAATCATCTGTTGGCTTCCCTTGTTAGTTTAGTCTTATTAATTTTGTTGTTTTTACATGGACATTAAGATGCTTTCTGCCTCATGGCATTTATTCACATGATGAAGGAGTAAACATATACTACTCCGAAAGGTGTTCCTCGTAATAAAGAAGTTGATATTCATATAATTTCTTCCTTAAATAATGTGTGGGCCTTCTCGGAAGTCGTTTAAGCTTAATTTGCGATGCACAGTTGCGTCCCCTTGGTAACCAGGATCTATTGGGTATACACAAAGTGGTTCATGTCTAGGATTACAATTATTGCTCATAGGGTGGTCAATGCGTATTGAAGAGCGCCCTGCAATTGTGGCCTGTTCATAAGTGCAGGTGTACTGTGTATCAAAAACTTTTCATCCAAGCCTAAGTAAAACACAACACATACTTGCTTAACCGTAAAAACTGAAGCTTAAAGAATGAATGACTTCATTGCAGTGACATAGTTCAGGCGTATTACGATCAACAATAACCAACGGCTCAGTCAGCTGTCATGTTATGGCGAGGTCTCGTTATTAAGCCATCGGGGGATTTACAGGTCTCAGTCGCCTAAGACGTTGCGATTCACGTGACCATGGGTTCGAATCCCCAATTCCCCGTAATATGTAATATGTTTTAAAACTTATCCTCCACGTTCTCGTGCTCGAGGGTTTCACTAAAGTGGTCAACGTCCAAGATCAACATCACTCCGGACTTTCCTCCCAAATTCGTTATTCGATGCGTTATAACTGAAACACTGTTGAAAGCGCCGTTAAACTCAATAAAACGATTGTCTAATCTGAAGAATATTACACACAGCACAACTGTATGACACTGGAAGCATTCGCGAATAATATTTAAATAATCTTTCATTTTCTCTTATGTCTTCCAAATCCATAAAAAAACGTGGAAACATTTTGGTAAAACAATGTGTAAAGTTATTTTACAGTTAAAAGTTTCGTTCAGTAAAAATGTGAAGTACATTTGTTATAAGTAAA